GTGGTAGGCAAAATTGTAAGAATAGCCCTCAATATACCTTGCCCTTGTATAATGTCCTCTTTGAGTGTGGGCGGAACCTCTGAATATGATGCACAATATTCTGGTGATTGTTACTTTATTTGGAGAAAGGGAGATTATCTGAGTGGGCCTAATTTAATTTCACAAGCCCTTTAAAAGCAGAGTGTTTTTATCCAGCTAGCAGCAAAAGAGGAATTCAGAAATGGGATGCACGAGCAGGATTTGACGCATCACTGCTGGCTTTGAAGATGGAAGGGGCCACGTGCCAAGGAATGTGGGTGGCTTGTAGGAGCTGAGAATGTCCTGGCTGATGCCAGCAAGGCCTCAATCCTATAATCACAAAAAACTGAATTCTGCAAACTGAGTATGTCTGAAAATGGACTCTTCTTTAGAACCTCTATAGAAGACCTCAGCCCAGCCAACACCTTGATTTCAGCCTTGTGAGACTAAGCAGAAAATCCAGTCAGGCCTGCCCAGACTTCTGACTTACAGAATTGTGAGATAATAAATAGATGTTGTTTCAAGTCACCAAATTTGTGGTCATTTGTGATGCAGGAATATAACATTAATACAAGTTTAAATCAGTGGTCTTGCAGCTTTACAAATATGTAAAAAATGTTCATTACAAAGCCAAATAATGTCACTATGATAACTTTTCCTTTCTTGTTCAAATTTTTGTTTATACCTAGAGTTAAGAACCACCACCATTTTTTTCATTTGCTTGGTTCTCCATGTAACTATCACATTTTTTTCCCAAATACGTGAACAGTTCTGTCAAATGCCCAATGATATTTTTTTGCAGTCACTCAAAACATAACAGATAATCCATCCGTTCTCTCTCCTACTATAGACTAGACTGGTCACTCTCTCAACCTGGTGCATAGCTCTTGTCTTAGAAATTGCTTTTGCCTCTCTCCAAGGTTTTATTCCGTTTCCTGGATTTCATGTTTTCTTTCTTGGTTTACTCCCTCCCTTTCCTGGAATATATCCTGAAATAGCCTTCTAAGAATATGTAGGAGGTATATTTTTGAGTCCAGAATGGTTTTATTTTACCCTTGCACTTAATTGTCAGTTTTCTAGATATGGAATTCTAGATGGAAAATAATTTTCTGAGAATTTTAAAAGTATGTCTTTATTGTCATGAAACTTCCAGTCGGATTCCTTTATGTGAGTGACTTATTTCTCTCTGGAAGCTTTTAATTTTCTTTTTATTCCCTAGTGTTCTGAAATTTCATAATGATGGAACTTGCTGTAGGTCTTTTTTCATTCATTGTGGTAGACAATCCAAGAGCTTTCTCAACCTGAAAATTTGTACCCTTCATTTCTGAGAAATTTTCTTTTATTATTTCTTAATTAATTTATTCTCTATTGTGTCTCTTCTCCTTTTTTGGAACTTCCATTTGTCAGCTATAAAACCACCTGAACTGATCCTCTAACATGTTAATCTTTATCTATATTTTCTTTGGGTTTTTAAATTTTTACTCTTTGGGAGATTCTTCAGTTTTGTCTTCCAACCTCCTATGTGAATTATCTATTGCTGTGTAACAAATTATCCTAAAACACAGAGGCTTAAAACAATGAACACTTACTACCTCACAGTTTCTTTGAATCAGGAATCCAGGAACAGCTTAGCTAGGTGGTTCTGGGCCAAGATTTCTACTGTGGTTGCAGACAAGATGCCAGCAGGGGCTGCAGTCATCTGATGTCTGGAGGCCTCAGTTCCTCTCTGGCTGTTGACAAAACAACTCAGTTTCTCACCACATGGGCCTCTCCATAAGCTGCCAGAGTGTTCTCACATCGTGCTAACTTTCCTCAGAGCAGGTGATCTGAGAAAGAGAAAAGAAAGCCACAATGCCTTTGTATGACCTAGTCTCAAAATGACCATCACGTCCACCAATAAACTACCACATCTTTATATCAAAACATTTTATTTTGACTACTATATTTTTAAATTCCAATGGCCATTTTTGGTCTTCTGATCTTCCTTTTCCATATCTTCTTTCTGTTCTTCATAGATATTATATTTTATTTAAGGTTCTGTTCCCTGCATTAGCTGTCTCCTCTGGGCCCTTTTTCCTCTGAGTTTATTTTGATCTCTATTTTTCTCATTAATGACTATCATTAAATAACGTGATCCTTGGCTCTTCATTATAATTTAAGAGTGAGCAACTGAAAAGCTGACTAGAAGCCTTTTGTTTGTTGTAGGCTTCACTGGGAGCTTTTCTCTGTATCTCTGCAATTTCTCCAGGGAAGAATTGTATAATTGCTTCTCTGGGAATTGGATAGATGCTTGTCTACTAGCATACTAGGACCAGGACAGGAGAAGCGAGTATTGAGAGTCTCAGTTTTGAGGATCTTCATTTTCACTTAAATGTCAAATTTTTAGTCCTGTACCACATGCCAGCCCTCCTATCCAGGAATGTGGTATCTCTTAGATTCAGTTCCTCCAAAGATTGCAGTTGTATTGAGATAATGGACATGCAACATTGTGTAAGTTTAAGGCTAAAACATGTTGATTTGATACACTAATATATTGCAAAATGATTACCACCGTAGCCTTAGCTGACACCCCCATTACATCACATAATTACCATTTCTTTTTTGTGATAAGAACATTTAAAAATCTACATAGCACCTTTCAATTATGTAATACAGTATTATTAACAATAACATTAGATCTCCAGAACTTATTCTTATAACCGGATGTTTGTACCCTTTGACCAACATCTCCCCTTTTCCCTAACTCCCAGCCCCCGGCAACCACCATTCTACTGTTTCTATGAGTTTGGCTTTTTTAGATTCCACATATAAGTGGGATCATACAGTATTTGTCTCTCTGTCTGAATTGTCTCACTTACCATAATGCTCTCAAGATCCACCCATGTTATTATAAATGGCAGGATTTCCTTCTTTCTTATGGCTAAATAACACTCTACTGTGTGTATGTGTGTTTGTGTGTGTGTGTGTATATTATTTATCCATTCATCTATTAACAGACACGAACACTTAGGTGTCCATATCTTAGCTATTGTGTATATTGCTACAAAGCACATGAAAGTGAAGATACCTCTTTAAGGTCTTGTTTTCATTTCCTTTAAACAGATACCCAGAAGTGGGACTACTGAACAAAAAAATCTTTCATCTGCTTGTTGGGGCAAGGTGGTTTGCCTGGTTGTGCCACATGCTCTGTAGACAGTTTCAATGACTACCTTCCTGTTCTCAGACCTGTTCTTTACTCCCACCTTCTGTGGTACCTGTTATATTCTAAAGTTTGAGCCTCTCAAGTGAATTAGCTCAATTCTAGGTATATCTGCCACTGCAGGAACTTAAGTTAAAACTTTTCCCATATTCATAGATTAGTTACCACCTCTCTATCCACTTTCCATTTTACAAAAGATATTTACACTTAAATATATCATTTGTTGTTGTATCCTTGCTCTCTTTATCCTTGAAGGTTATTGCCAATATTGTTGTTATTTTGATGTCATTTTAGCAAATTTAAGATAGAAAGGAAATAAATTTATATGACCATTTAATCATTTTTAAAACTTTTTTTGGTCTACAGCCGTGAAACCCTGAACATGCCCAATTTTGTCTGATCTCAGAAGCTAAGCAGGGTCAGGCCTGGTTAGTACTTAGATGGGAGACCACCTAGGAAGATCAGGTGCTGTAGGCAAGAAAAAATAAAAATAAAAAAACTTTTTTGGTGACATAATTTAAAAATTATAGAAAAGTTATAAGACTAGTACAAAGAAATTCTCTATACCCTTTACCCACATTAGCCAATTATTATTTGGTCACATTTGCCTTCTTTCTCCCTATATATTTGTTTTCTCAACTACTTGAGAATAAATTGCTCATATTATATTCCTTTACCACCAAATATTTTAGTTTATATTTCCTAAGAATAAGAACATTTTCTTAGATAACAACTCACAGTATAAGTATCAAACTCAGCAAATTTTAACACCAATACTGTTATCTAATTAGCTATAGTCTATATTCCAATTTTGCCAATTGTCCCATTAATGTCCTTTACAGCAAAATTTTTCCTTTCAGGATCCAATTAAGGATCAAGCATTGCATTTAGTTGGCATGCCTCTTTAGTCTCCTTCAATCTGGAACAACAACTTTGCCTTCCTTTGTTTTAAGACATAGACTTTTAAAAAAAAAAAGTATAGGCAAGACATTGTGTAGAATTTTCCTTAATTTGATTTGTCTGATGTTTCTCATGATTAGATTAGGTTTGAATATTTTTGCTAGGAATAAGCGATATTATGTCTTAAGTACATCTAATTGGAGGCTCATGATGACATGTTATCACATTATCGATGATGTTAACTTTGATTGTTTGATTAAGGTGGTGTTTGTCAGTCTTTTCCACTGTCAAGTTACTGTTTTTGTTTTGTAATTAGTAATAATTTCCAGGAACATACTTTGAAAAATGTAAGTACCTTATTTTTCATCAAACTTACACCTACTAGTTTTAGCATCTATTGAAGGGTCTGTGTGAATCAATTATTTCTGTGATAGTTGCAAAATGATAATTTTCTAACTCAGATCCATTTTAACTCAAGTTTACAGTAAGTGTTTAAGTTTTATTGAGTTTTTCAATGTAAATATAAATGGACAAATCCTAACAGGTCAGATTCAAGAAAATATTAAAGACAGTCATCTACCATCAAGTAGATTTATTCCAAGAATACAATGATGACTTAATATTAGGAAATATATTAACATAATACATCACATATATATGTCAAATTAAAAAGATATACACAACTATCTCACTAGAAATTAAAAAAGCATGTGATATTTTTTAAAATGCTTTGTAAAATAAAAGGATATTCCACAGCGTAATAAAGACCTCCCACCTCATATCATACACAAAAATAAATTCCAGATGGATCAAAAAGCTAAATATACATAACAAAACTATAGAAACATTAGAGGAAAATATAGAATATTTTGACAAAGTGGTTTTGAAAAACTCCCCATAGAACATAAAGCCCAGAAGCCTAATAGAAGACTGACAATTTTCACTAAGTAAAAAATTGTAAATTATGTATCAGAAGACATAATAAAGTTAAAAGGCAAGATACTGAGAGAAAATATTTGTCATATATACATATGTGCATATTTAAACACATATTCATATCTATAATTCACATACATAATCAAAATATATGAAAAGCTCCTAAGTAAGACATCAGTCCAGGCTCCCTCTTTCATCTAACATCAGATGTTTATTTTTGGGGAACTGATTGTGCCAGGCACTGTGTTAGGCACTGGAAATACAACAGTAACTAACAGAAAATAAGTAAATAAACAAGATAGTCACAGATTATAACAAGTGCTGGGAAGGAAATAAGAGGCAAAATAACAAATCAGAAATTATAAATTGCTGGCCAGAGGGCCAGACTCAGCCTGCAGGGTGTTTTTTGTTTTTTTTTTTTTTAATTTGGACCAACATTTAAAAATCAGGAGATATTATGTAAAACCCACATTTCTGATTTCTCTTCAAAAATTAGAACAGGCAATACTGGCCCAAAATTCCCACATGACCACAAACAGCCAGAGCAAAGCAGCAGCTGCCTCTTTAGATGGGACGGGTTTTTTACTCAGTTTGCTTAACTCATAAACATTATCTGCCTGACTGTTACAGGGAAATGAGTTTGCAAATGACCATGATGAAGTGTAACTTGTGAAGGCCCACTTTTGAAAAAATAATAAAGGAGGTAATATTTGAGCAACACTGAAGAATGAGAACAAGCCAGCCATGTGTAGAGCTGAGACTAGAGCTTCACCTCCATAGGAGCAAATTTCAAATTCTAGAAGCAGTGCAAGGCCAAAACTATAGCAAAGCACCTCCACCTCCCTCTTTGATCACAAACTGCTTTCATGGATCCCAGCCAGAAGCCTCTAACTCATTTCCTTCTTGACATGCCATTTTATTGTGCACACCTGAAATACCTTTTCACTCTGCCCATCATCCATGACCTCATAACAAAAAGAACCTTAGAACAATATTTCTGATCCTATTACCTTTTCCCTAAAGACATTCAGGCAGCTTGGCTACCATTTGCCAAGTTTGATTTCAACCATGTAATTCAGACTTCCACCTGAAAAATTCCATTCACTAGGAATGAGGAACTGGTTTGGGAAATTCACAAGGAGAGCAGGGAGATGATGAATAAAAGACAGGATTCTATTTGGCTCCTAGCAAGCCCATATCCACCCTGTTTTTACCCCAGTCTTTCTAATCTCAATTTCTACATTCATAAATTCAAGGAACCCACAGTTCCTGACTATACTCACCCTTAGTTCCACAACCCAAGTGGTCTTACAAGACTCTAATTTGTAATCCATGCTTGTCTTCAGAATGATTCTCTGGCTCCACTCTCTTTCTGGCTGATTTCACCTTGTTAAAACATTCACTCAAGTGGTTTGACCCTTTTCTGTCCACCGACGCTAGTTCTTCATCCTGTTCATGCTCAAATCAACCACACTCTTAACGGGCTCCTCAGCTTTAACAACAACCATAAAATGAACCTGTTAATATTAACACCTTTTATTCTTAACACTCTTACTATAATGATATTTTTAAGTCAATCACAATTTTTCTTTGAAGAAAGATAGGTTTTTTTCCTTCTAGTAGGTGTGAGTGTATTAACATTCGACTCAAAAAAGCCTACTCAAGCTTTCCTTATTATAGTAGTAATGAAAACTCAGAGGTGAGTCAATACATGTAATCAAATATGGTGCCAGTCCCTGCCTCCTTCCTTTTTATTCCCCCTGTTCAAGAACCAAAATAGAAAAGCCAAAGAAGAAAATGGAGTGTGGGGAGCATACTTTGGTCTATCCTTAATTTCAGAAACTCGGTTTTATCAAGTACCCAAAGTTGTTCAGATTCAGGGGCTAACTCATACTAAGCAAATTCAGAGTGCCTCAGTTTTCTCACCTGTAAATGGAGATAACAGTGCCTTTCTTATAGATTCGTTGTAGAAATGAAATAATGTATATAATACATATAAGACCTAGCACATAAAACTATACAACAGATGATTGGAGGAAAAGTTATAAACCATGATATGTAAGTTACTATTTACATATGGAATATATACCTTTGCTATGACTGGAATATCTTTGTCCACTTCTCAAGACACACTTGCCAGGATAAACCTAGAAAGCAATATTTTTAACCATAAGATTCCTTGAAAACCAAAAGATGCTGACTGGCTTTAAAGGATATTTCACCCAGGCCCTGAAAGAGCCTGGTGACTACAGCTGCCCACAGAAGAGTACCCCTGACCAATTACTAGAACTCTCATGTCCACCAATCAGTAGATTCCTGCCCTTCCCAGACTCACCCTTCCTGACCCTAATATGGGTTGCCCCTGCAGGTTCAGCCTGGCTTCCAGTTTGTTCACGTTATGCCCTAGTCTCTTAAATACTTAAGCTTTTGTTCTCTGTCCTGCCCAGGGGAACATGGCCCTATGTCTGTCCTTTCCTTAGCTGAATCTCACCACCTGCTTTGAACTCTGCTGTCCTACCTACTCTTAGCTTCTTACCTGGACACTTCTCTTGGCCCAGGAATGTTTTGGTCTTGATTTCAGACAAATTTCTTCTTATCTGGCCCTTTCCTGAGACAACTCCTTTGCCTTGTTATATAAAAACACTAGGTCAAGCTATAACTCATTATAACACAAATCTACAGTCAAGACATTGCTCACTGATAGGAGTTTCAGGGGCAAATGATGGGGGTGGGTGGAAGGAGAGATTATGTTTTTTCTTATCTTGTGACAAATGACTTCTCCCTGCCAGACTCTCCAGCAAGTGCCCGCTAGCCACAGACATAAAGACCTCCAAGCTCTGCACATTCAAAGGGATTCACTCTATCTTCCTCCACTGCTGCCTTTATTATTCCTCTTCTCAGAGGAATTCACTAGCTAGTCTTCAGAGTTGCTCTTAATTCCTGTTCCAAATGAATCTCTTCAAAGAAAAAGTCTGAAGTCTTTGAGAAAACTGAGCACATCTTACTTGCATTATCATTTTCTGGACCCTGTCATAGGATATAATAGGTGATTTTCCCCACCCTGGCTGGAATGTCCTCTGCTCCAGTCTCCTAGGTCTCCTGGTCTCTCGCAGCTGCCTGTTAGAAACAGCGGGGATGCCATTCTTAGACTCCAGCAGAGGGCACTGTCGTTCTGGCTTTTCAAACCCCAGCAGGTTTTTTAATGAATTGGCCCAAGCCTCTGAGCCCCTCTGCCTTTCCAAATGGATAGACCTGTAGTTATAGAAATGTATCTTAGAAACAACCCATACATCTTATAGGTGCTGCAGACCACCATCTCTTATCCTGAAACTAGAGGGGAGAAGGTACTCAAGCTACTCATAGCTATGATCTGCCAAAGCCTAGGGAGTAGGCACCTCCAAGGTGAGTGACTATACTGCAGACAGGTCTCTTTCCCCACAGGGGCTTAGCCTTTCCCCACTGGGACTGGTCCAGTCCACTGCAGAGTGGTCACCAGATTCCAGTCCTCTCTGCTCCCCTGATGCTAGCCACAGGAAATGATAGTCCACATTTCAGTAGAGCTCAGGGAGACAGGGTTCTGTCTCTGGATTAGAGTAATGATATGTCCCCCACCCAACTCAGGTCGGCTCTAAGGTGAGCAGACACCCTTGACAGGACCCCCACTGAGCTGTACACAAGGGAGCCCATCAAGAGGCTACTTCTATGAGTCCATGTTTTCTCTTAGTCCTTGGTCTTCCCTGGATGTTCCAGTTAGATTATTTCAAGAGCTAGTTTGGTGTGGTGGTCAAGAGCATCAGCCAAACAGCTTAGGTTAAACTCATGTCTCTGCCATATGCTAATTATGTGACCTTAGGAAAGTTACTAAACTTCTCTGGGCCTCTGTTTCCCCATTTGTAAAACAAGATAATAGTACCTACCTTTTCTAGTTGTGCCGGCCATGCACATTCACTAAGTATTAGCTCTTTTTATTATTGTCTCTAGAAGATCCACGTAGTCCATTTTACGTCAGCAGTCTGCAACCTCTTATCTCATCCCCATCTATTTCCCCTGTGTTCGGGATCCTGAACAAGTGCACCACTTTGAGGAAGGTATTTTTGGACATGGAAGCAAAGGAACTCCCATATATCTGATATGTGCCCTGAGGATTGGTCTGGTCCCCTGGACTCAAGCTCCTGTCCACTTCCTCCCAAAGCACTGGGAGTTTCCTTGTATTAGAGAAGACAATAAGTGCAAGACAGCCTTCCAAATGCACATCAGCCAATTTCAATCCATCTTAATGCCCTAGCCAACTTCAAGGGATTAATGTCCAGCATTGGATATCACCTGCTGGATTAGAGTCATTTCTTATGTATGATACCATAACATTTCTCTCAAGCTGATCTTGTATGATTTTCTAGTTAAAGCAGTATTACTCTGCAAGCAGAGACACCAAGTTCAAGACAACTGTAAGTAATGTGCATTAGGTATTATTACCACTCCATATTAAGCATTTAGAACAGACAGCCAAGTATTCTAACGTGGAAGTCAGAATTCTGGGAGCCACTGAAGCACACACATTCTGAAAATTCTTCAACCTGAAAATATTGTGGCCTATCAGCCCCAGCAAAGTAGTGGATAAATAAGACTTTGTGATGACCACAGTCGCCCTGGGAAGCCTTTAACATTGAGAAATCTGCAACATTAATTTGGATAAGTGAAAGAGCCACCCAAGTACTTCTGCACCACCCCAGATATCGTCCATGGTCTATCCAAAGCATTAAATGTAATTATAGCAATTTCCAATTTATGGCCCAATTCTAGAAGAAGCTGTCCAGGGCTCTTCATAGCTATATACCTCTCAAAACCATATGGAACATGGTATTAACTGCTATACCATGCAGTATACCTCTGTTACACCATCTACCAACAAAATGATGGATTCTACTACTTTGCCACAGTGGTATTTGCTTACAAGGAGCTCACTGCATTCCTCCACCCCAAACATGCCCTTTCACAGAGGCTGTGGCATGACTCTTACCCCTCACCAGCCTTGCCCAGGTGGCTTTCAAACCTGGTTGCTTAGGGAAGCTACGGTTACCAAAAATACCTTCCAGCTTGCCAAAAACTGATGTGAAGAGCATACCAACTGGTGTTTGGTTCATGAGGAAGGTGTCCAAGTGATACTGTCCAGCACACCTCCAAGCACACAGTAACCATCCATATGGGAACCTGGAAACCTGGAAACCTACTACTTGGAAACTGAGATAATAGAAAAGATCATCTGGCTGTACCCTTAAGGACAATCAGTCTGAAGCCTAAGGGCCAGATAAAGAGCTCCCACTGTCACCTGTAATTAAGCAATAATTAACTCACAGTCCAGATCCCATTGTCCACTAGAAATGTGCTCCTGCTCTTTCTCTTCAGCCTGCATCTACTTGGCCATGAACATCCCGCCATCCACTACTTGTCCCAAATCAAATGACCAAACTCAAATGACACTGCTTCTGGAAACTAGATCTTCTCATTGCTGTAACCTGTGATGAAGTACAGATCAGTCCCCTGGTTCAGTCCAGGCCTCTAGAACTCTGTACTCCGCCCCCGCCTCCAAATCCTCAACTGTCTGTAGAAGGAGGAGATTCAAACAGTGCCCCCACTCTAGTGATGTCATCTCAGGGAATATTAAAGATTTCTGTTGGAGTGAAAAAGGGAGGGAGGAGGGACAGAGATGATAAATGAGTGGGGCCACGCCAGGAAGAAAGAGAAAAGCAGGAGCCTTGGAAGAACTCCAGAAGAAAAGTGGCAACCTCACTCTCTACCAGAGGTGAGACAGTGATCTCAACAAACAATTTCCAGAAGGAATAGCCAACTTTCATCCAGTTCCTGATAGCTCAGGATTCAAAGGTGCAAGCCAAATCCTATTTAAGCAGAACATGAATTTATTGAAAGAATATTGGTGGGATTACATCAAACTAAAAAGCTTCTGCATAGCAAATGAAACAAAATGAAAAAACCTACAGATGGGAGAAAATATTTGCAAACCACATATTTGATAAAGGTTTGATATTCACAATATATAAGAAACTCTCATATCACAATAGCAAAAAGAAAGAAAATCTGATTTAAAAATAGGCAAAGGAACTGAAAAGACATTTCCCCAAAAAAGGCACACAAGCTCTTTCTCAGGGCACCTCATAGGTGGTTAGCTGTCTCAAGATGAAACTGAACATCTCTTCCCCAGCCACTGGCTGCCAGAAACTCATTGAAGTGGATGATGAACGCAAACTTCATACCTTTTAGGAGAAGCATATGGCCACAGAAATTGCTGCTGACACTCGGTGAAGAATGGAAAGGTTTTGCAGTTTGAATCAGTGGTGGGAATGACAAAGGAGGTTTCTCCATGAAGCAAGGTGTCTTGACCCATGGCTGTGTCCTGCAACTCCCAATTTATGGCCCAACAGTAAGGGGTATTCCTGTTATAGACCAAGGAGGACTAGAGAAAGAAAGGGCAAATCTGTTTGAGGTTGCATTGTGGATGCCAATATGAGTGTTCTCAACTTGGTCACTGTAAAAAAAGGGAAGAAAGATATTCCTGGTCTCACTGATACTACTGTGCCATGTCACCTAGGGCCCAAAAGAGCTAGCAGAATGTGCAAACTTTGATCTCTCTAAGAAAGATGTCTGCCAATATGTTGTGAGAAAGCCTCCCAAAGACAGTAAGAAACCTAGGGCCAAAGCATCCAAGATTCAGTGTCTTTTTACTCCACATGCCCTGCAACACAAACCTCAGTGTAGTGCTCTGAAGAGACAGCAGACTAAGGAAAATAAGAAAAAAGCCACAGAATATGTTAAATTTTTGGCCAAAAGAATGAAAGAGGCCAAAGGAAAACTCCAGGAGCAGATTGCCAAAAGAGGTAGGCTATCCTCTCTGAGAGCTTCTACCTCTAAGTCTGAGTCCAGTTAAAAATGAGATTTTTATAAGAGTAACAAATAAGATCAGACATTTAAAAAAAAAAAAGAAAAAGATACACAATGGCCAACAGGCATATGAAGAGATGCTCAACTAATCATCAAGGAAATGCAAATTAAAACCACAGTGAGATACCACTTCACACATGTTAAAGTGGCTATTATCAAAGAAAATAAAAGATAACATGTGTTGGTGAAAATGTGGAGGAAAAGGGAACTCTTGTACACTGTTGGTGGGAATGTAAATTGGGGCAGCCACTATGGAAAACAGTATGGAAGTTCCTTCAAAAATAAAAAAATAAAAAAAAACTACCATATGATTCAGCAATTCCATTTCTGGGTATATACCCAAAAGAATTGAAATCAGGATCTTAAATTGATATCTGCACTCCCATGTTCATTGCAGCATTATTCACAACAGCCAAGATATGGAAGCAACATAAATACCTATAATGCATGAATGGATAAAGGAAATGTGGGATATGTATACAGAGGAATATTAGCCTTAAAAAAAAAAAGGAAATCCTGTCATTTGCAACAACATGGATGAAACTGGAAGACATTATGCTAAGTGAAATAAGCCAGGCACAGAACAAATAATACATGATACCACTTATATGAGGAATCTAAAATAATCAAACTCATAGTAGCAAAGAATAAAATGGTGGTTGCCACAGGCTGGGGGAGGAGGAACTGGGGAGGTAGTAGTCAAAGGGTACAAGTTTCAGTTACACAAGATGAGTAGGTCCTGGAGATCAACTGTACAGCATAGAGCCTATAGTTAATACTGCATTATATACTAACATTTTGCTAAGAGGTTAAATCTTATGTTGAATGTTCTTATCAAAAAATAATAATTAATGAAGGTGGTAGGAAATCTTTGGAAGGGATGAATATGTTTATGGAATAGATTGTAGTGCTGGTTTCACAGGTGTGTACTCATCTCCAAACTCATTAAGTTATATATATTAAATATGTAAAACTTGTTATATGTCAATTTTACAACAGTTTTTTAAAATATAGGGAAGCACGGGAAAGCTGTAGAGGAAACAGAACCAAGCTTGGTGGATAGTAACCAGAAATGATGTTCAAAATCATGCCGCAGACCTGGTTAGACATAGAAACTACAGTATTGAATGCCATGGTAGGCACTGCTGGCACCAAGGATGCTGGGCCCTGGATACTGCTGCTAGAGACAAGTGCAGCTTCACTGCTACAACTTCCCATCAACAGAAAAAGACTTTACATGTCCCTGCTTTTTTGCAACCTCATCTTTGATTCAAAAGCTGGAACAGATATATTTGATTGGCCTAGCCAAAACTCTTTGCCCATGTCTTAGCTGCGAGAGAGACTGAGTATCTTAATCTGTTCAGGCTGCTATAACAAAATACCATAGACTGTGTGGCTTATAAACAACAGAAATTTATTTCTCACAGTTCTGGAGGCTGAAGTCCAAGAGCAGGGTGCCAGCATGGACGGGTGAGGGCCCTCTTCCAGGTCAAAGGCTTCTCTTTGTGTCCTCATATGGCGGAAGGGGCAAGGGAGCTCTCTCAGGCCTCTTTTATAAGGGCACTCATGCCATTCATGGGGCTCTGCTCTCATGACCTAATCACCTCCCAAAGGCCCCACCTCCAAATACCATCACTTTGGGCATTAAGTTTTCAACATATAAATTTTGGGGAAGACACAAACATTCAGACCACGCCACTGGGTAAGGAAGATCTGGTCTTTTCAGCCTAGTGATATATATAGGTTTTACCTCAGAGGGGATTCCCAAACCCTCAAAAGAACATTAGGTCTACATTATACTAATCTGCCCTACCCACCCTACCCTACCCTACCCTACTCTACTCTACATTAGCCACATCCCCTGTCCCTCTCCACTTTACCAGCACTAATCAGCCTCTAAATCAATAGCAAGCTCTGAGACCTCACTAATGTTTCTAACACTTGCTATCCTGCTGTCTGAAATGTTCTTGATGCTACCATGTCCCACTAACAACTTCTTATCCTCCAAGACTTAGCTTAAACATAACTTCCACCTATTAACCAATTTCACCAATTAAAGCTATTTCACCAATTAAAGCTCTGCAAATATGCAAATCTTAGGAAAGGAGTGTCCATCCAGATAAGGTGCCCTTTTCACCAGCACTAATCCTAAGTATCTGTCAAGATCTTGATTCCAGCAGGAAGCCACTCAAAACCAGGGTCGGGGAAGAGAAAGAGTTGTGAAGGAGGTCTCATGATCCCTGGTTTCTCCCTTCCACCCCTGTCACAGGCACTATGATTTAACTCCTAGGATCCCAAGATTCGCTAATCAGATGTGTGAGTGGCTAGGAGAGATCCCTGCTATGTGCCTGGTTGGCATGGAGACTAGAAACTCCACTCAGAGAATCAAACAGTCCCATTCATCAAGTACTCAGCAAGTCTGCTCTTATTTCAGACCAGAAGGAACTGTTGCCCACTAGACTTCCTCCGATTACCTCAGAAGATGAGAATTATTCTGTGCACCAGAATAGCCATACGAGGTACCATGAAGCTGTACAAAAGGTCTTGTTAAAGACATGTAAGTATCTTGGAGTGGGCACCATGCTAGGGGCAGAGTAGATATATCTGAGTTCCTAAAGAATGTCTGAGATGAGCTAGGGCATGGTTATAGGGCTGGAGGGAAAAAAAAGTCAAGAAGAGAGATTGAGAAGACCAGGGAGAAAGTAGACCTGAATGGTGGAATGAGCAAGATAAAGTAAAAATTGAATCAGACTTGGAAGCAGGAGATCCAGGTTTGAGTCCCAATTCTCCCTCGTTTAAATGTCTCACCTTGAGTAGTCACTTAACCTTTATTAACCTCCCTCCTCATTCATTAGAAAACAAAACAAGAAACAGAAAATGCCTACTCTATCAATCTTACAGAATTGCTGTGAGAATCAAACCAAAAACAAGAGTTTATAAAAGTATCTGTATTATTATATGCTATGCTGTAAGGAGTGGTAGACTGAGCACTAGCTTTGGAATTTGAACTGAGTTTAAACTCCAAACAAGTTGTGACCTTGGACAGGTTCCTTTAACCACTTAACCTCTCCAAACCATCTGAAAATGGGAATACTCTAGCATTGTGTGAAGGTTAGAGAAAATGTACATTTTAAAAGCATCTAGTACAAACCACTGATACACACAATAGCTTGTAGGAATTTCCAGGGCATTATGCTATGTAAAGAAAGTCAGTCTCAAAACGATCGCATACTGTATGATGCCATTTATATAACATTCTTAAAATGACATAATTATGGAAATGAAGATTAATTACCAAGGGCAGGTTGGGGGCGGAAGGTGTGGCTGGCTATAAAGGGCAACTCCAGGATCTCATAGTGATGGAACTTCTATATCAATGTTAATATCATAGTTGTAATGGTACTATAGTTTTGCAGGATGTTACTGTTGGGGGAAATGGATGAAAAGTACACAGGTTCTCTGTGTATCTTTTCTTACAACTGTTTGTGAATCTATAATTATCTCAAAATGAAAGTTCAATTTAAAAAACTAAAATGCTTTCAGAAATTTTAAAAAAAGACATATGTATGAAGTATCTAAGAGTTATTTCTATTAGCAAGACTTTTAAAAAGCTTATTATCAATAATAGGAAAACAACTAAGTCAAAATGTAATGTCTACTCAATGGTATATTAGGGATTTTTTTTTTTTACAATAATGATTATAAAGACTATAAACCAGAATATGAGGCTATAATTCTAAGTTTTAAAAATATACAAATTTTACATACTGGTATGATTCGATTTATCCAAATAGATAGTGAAAATACAAAAAAAAAATCTAAAGAGGTCTGACATTATTTCAAATTTTGAAGAACACCTAATATAACATCTAGAACATGATGGGCACTTGATAAATGATATCATTAGCAGTAGGTAAACATGAGGTGGTATCATTGCTAAGTTTCAGAGAAGTACCTGGAATGAACACAGGAAAGAGTTACTTCAGAGAAGAGGGAAGGGAATGAAGATGATTAAGCCTAGAAAAAAAAAATAAACCCGTGGACCCATCTTGCACATTTCCCCAGTAGGTTATCCACTTGTTTTTCCTCTATCTTAGCACGCAAGGAAAGCTCTCATAGAGATGGGCTTAGTAGCAGCAGGAAGAACGAAGACTGATTCAACTGACCATGAAGGGTGTGAAATGCTGGAATCCGGAAGTAAAACTGGGTGTGGTGACCAAATTCCCAGGACTTCTCAGCACCTGGTCAGGCGTAGTTGCTAGGCTAGGCTTGGCTTGTGCTGCCCTGAGGCAGAAAAGGGAGCAGAGAAAAAGAAATTGGATAACCTGCCCTTCCCCAAACCATTTAGTCCCCAATCAGGTCTTCCGAGTCCCCTTGACTGATGCTCAGAACTTCAGCTTCTGGAGGTCCCACGATCCAGGAGTGCGCCCAGAGGAAACCATGCCATGGATCCGGGGCCCTCGCCACTGCCTCATCAAAAGCCCAATGACCAGGTTAGGCTGGGAGGAGTAAGGCGGGGAGACCACGGAGAATACTCCCTCCCCTCACTTAAATCCTTAGAAACTGTTGCATCTCCACTCAGGGAATAGAAGGGATTTGGGTCTTACCAGGGGAAGCTAAGCTGGCCCCAGAATCTGGGCAGTGGTGGCATTCAGAGTTAAAGATTTGTCTGTCTTATGTTTCGCCTTATGGATATGACTTCTGAGCAGGCATTAAGACAAGTGTCTATAGTATTCCTGTGGGAGTCTGGGGAGTTTCTCCTCCCCTCATTGCTGCCTCCCTGCCCCTCCAGCCACCATCCATTGGCAGTAGCCCTACTTCATCACTACCACAGCCCATTCTGCTCTGAGGCAGTCCTGGGAGCTACATTTTAGGACACATGCAGAGACACACACACACTCACTCACTCACTCACTCACTCCAGCCTGGCCTGGCTGAATCAGAGACCCTTTCTTTTCCAGATTTATGGATCACTCTATTCTCAATGACAGAAACTTCAGTCTGTATTGAGCAGGATGTGTTTGCAAAAGGACAAGATGGACTGGAAGGAGGGCAAAGAAGGGAAAAGAGGAAGGTATCCTGGTTCTGATGGATGACTAATGGGAGGAGGGGATTGAGGAAGCAGAGTAAACAGATTGGACTAGAAGTCACTTGTGTGCACTGAAAGGAGAGGGATGGAAATAATCCCAAAGCCCACACTCCTATGAGATCAGGTATGTGAGAGATTCTCCCAGAAGCTAGAACGTTATGGTGTTTGGTTTGGAAGGGACCAGCAGGGCACTGGAAAGACAACCACAGGGGTCCTGACCTCATATGCGGAAGGAGTCAGAGTAACAGATCTGGGTATACACCACTATTCCTCATGATGCTGAAGGGCCTGGAGTAGTCATGCTCTCTGAAGACACTGCAGCTTCTCCTTAGCAGGGAGAAAACCAGATCGCAGATGAGAGAGGCCCACCTCTCTTGGGCAGGAGGCCCACCTCTCTTGGGCAGGAGGGTGCAGATGAGAGAGGCTGCCTCCTACACCAGGCTCTGCCACTTCTCACTTAACCCCGGGCCCAGAACAGCTGCAGAGAACAAGGAGTTTTACAAAGAGTTTGATTTTATTGATATTTAAATATATTAAATATTTCACTGAAATACATGATACATCACCCTCCCCCCCACAGTGGTTACATTATAAAAACCGAAGTCCATGGACCTCCCATCCACTGACTCCCCCGCCAACTGGTGAGGAGGGGACAATGGTAGCCTGGAGGAAGGCCATGGCTGGCACTGTGGTAGGGGAGCCAAGGTATGGACAGGCCCTTCCCGCCTGGCAAGAAGCAGAGACAAATCACCCAAAACTGAAGTCTTCTCATCCTAGTCTCTTTGTATCCTCACCCATACCCCATGGCTCCAAGCAGTCCCTTCCTATCCAAGGATATGGCTGCGGGGAGGAGAGCTGATTTCCTGTCTGGACCAACTAGTCTTCCCCTCCTCCTGCCTTGGCTAATGAAGTAAGTACCTGAGGGCCCATTTGATTGATGCATGAAGAGCCCCAAAGGCAGGCAGTTTGAGCCAGAAACCAGGCCTCTACTAGAGTCAGAAAGGGCATGAAGAAGGACAAGATATCATCACTTGCCCCTTCTACTTCCAAACTCAGCACTTCTGGGTCTCTCCTCAGCCTCTCTGATCGCCTCCAAGACGAAGCAGTCTTCAAGCAAAATTCAAGCTAATGCCTCTGGCTTAAATAGGTACAGGCAGAGAAACCAAGACACCAACTAATTCAGGCCAGAGGCAAGGAAGTTGCAAGAAAAAGATAAAAGGAAGGCAGGGGTAGGAAGGAAATCTAGCCTCCTAACCCCCCTGCCAACCCCTGTAGGCTTCACAGGGACTGGGGTGCCAGGAACATGCTAAACTCAGGCTGAAGGCTTGGGAAGGCGAAGTTTCAGGTTCCCCTGCCCCATCCTCTAGTACCAGTATCTGGGTCCTCAGAGGGATCCCGTGTTACCCCAGTCCCAAAGCATACCACGTCCCAGGATACCAGCTGGGGAATCCTGGAAATTCCTGAGCCTCTGACCACCAAATCCCAGACAGTTCAGGCTTGGTCCCTGCCCCAGGCAGGAGGACAGTCATGCTGCACACGTGGCCCCCAAATGGCACTTAGGGATTTGGCACAAAAGGACACCTCTCCCCAGGGCCCCCCTCCTCTTGTTACTACACCCTACTCCACTCCTGTGCAACCTGAGCATCCCTCCCCATCCTTGAAACGGAATCCTGCCTTATTCCCAGAAGATAGAGGACCACGGGAGAGAGGCAGCCCAGAGTGGAGAGCTGAGGAGCAGAAGCACAAGGACACACACGGCCCTGGAAAAGACATGCAAATGAAGACCAACATGCACGCACATTACACAGACACACAGGCCCTCCCCAGTGCCAGAGGTTTGGGAGGACAGGTTTGGGATCAGAGTTATCTTCCTCCATACCCTGGCCCTTTTCTAATTTGGCAACAGAAGGTGTAGAGATGCTGTGTGCCCCCTTGCCAGCAGACAGCAAAAGAACACTGGGGCAGAGTGACCTGATCCTGCCCATTGGGGCCCTCAGATCAGAGTCTGGCCCCATCCCACTCCCTGGCCGGCCCGTTCTCTTTGGCACCTGCAGGTGAACTTCCAGCTCCTGATCTGACATCCCCACACAAAGGTTTGCTCTCTGGCTGGGCATTTTCACAGTACCAGTGAGGCCAGACGCCCCTTTCCCTGGAACTTTGCAGGAACTAGGGCTAAATCTGAGCTGTCAGAAGTCCCTTTGTTCCCCTTTGGGGACAGATCATGGGACTAGGATTTGGCAAATGGAAACATTCCCCTGAAATATGGACAGAACTAGGTCCCCAGGGCATATCCCTCCTATGCCCTGTGCCTAGGAGGGAGACCTGGCTAGGGTGGGGGATCCCCAGAACCATGCTGGGGATGCAGGCATAGCAAAGGCAAGCATGGAATAGGCACTCCTCATGCCTGCCAGTCTTTGTATGAAATACTCCCAGGAAAAGGGGAAAGGAAAAGCCTAGCCCTGAGCCTGTTGCCCAGACAGGGAAAGGGCAGGCATGGCAAGCTGCCATTTTCACCTCCCAGGCAGGAGGATTCCCACTGCCTCTGCTGCAGCCTCCTCCCCTGCTCCCAAAAGCTGGAGGAAAGGAGAGGGAACAGTCCTGCCCCAATATAAAAAGAAAGTCACTTGCAAATTCCTCTTGGCATCCCCTCATTCTCCAGCCTGAGGGCAGACGAGCATGGTCCAAGCACGGTCTGCTGGGGTGTTCCCTTTTGTGGTAAGCAGGGTCTGAAGGCTCAGTGTCCCCTGCCACAGCTCCACCCAGCGAGTACAGAGTCCACTCAAATGCCCACCTTGGTCCCTTCAGCTGAATTTGTAACTGCTAACTGCTGGGGCCCCCATTGAGGAAGTAGGTGGTCATCTCCCCCTTGCCCTTCACTTTGACCACTCCTCGACACTCCAGCTGGTAGCCCTTGGCAGCCAGAACCTGGTACAGGTCAGTGGTCACCTGGGGGGTAGGAGGGGAGATTGCTTAGCCTGGGATCCTTCCTGCTACATTTGCAGGGGCCCAGGGGTCCTCTCATCATGCTAGCTTCCCTCCCCCAATCCCCACCCCACCAACCACAGCACACTGCCACCCTACCCCTGTCCTAGCAACTGCAGAGAGAGACCTGCAGAAGCCCTCTGGGTCCATACCCCTCCCAGCCTCTGCTCACATTCCCCTCACCTGGATTCTGTCAGGGACCCCTGTGCTGTCCATACGGCTAGAGACATTCACTGTGTTCCCCCAGATGTCATACTGTGGCTTCCGAGCCCCAATGACACCTGCCACAACTGGGCCCATGTTCAGTCCTGTGGTGGGGAGAGCAGCAAGACACTGAGACAAGTGGCTGTTCCAGGGTCAGCCCAGGGAGTCATCCCACCTCCTGGAACCTTTAGAAGTGGCAAAGGGACAAGTGTCCTGGTTGTAGAGAATTAGAAATCTGGGCCTTTTAGCTGAGGGGCTCCCCTGAGTCAAGACAGCTATGCTGTAACTAATACGTCGCTAATCTACTGAATGCACACTCCGTGCCAACTCCTCTGGTAAGTATTCCATTAGTATTTCATCCTCTCAACAGCCCTAAAAGTTGGGTATCATTATCCCCATTTACAGATAAGGCAAGTGAAGCTTAGAGAAGTTAGATGACTTGCTAAATAAGCCAGTAAGTGGAACATCCAGAATTCAAACCAGAGAGTCCTGACTCCAGAATCCATGCTATCACTCCCATCCTCAGTTCATCTGAGAAGAACTGCCTCTTATTAGACTGGCCATAGATAAGGGCACAGGTACTGGAGTTTACCTGAACCTGGTTTTGAATCCCAATTCAGCCACTTACTAGTTGTTATTAAATCTCTGTTCTGGGCGGCCAAGTTATTAAATCTCTCTGAGAGTCAGTCTCTTTATCTGTAAAAGGGGATAATAATGTGAGGATTAAAATGTGCTCACAAAAGTCTAAGACAGTGCCTAGCACATAGCTGGTTCTCAATAAGTGATCTCTGTCCTTCATACCAGACAACATGGGAGTAGGGAGAAAAGGAAATCCTACACGAGTCCTGTTGGGGAATCTGTGATGCCGTCTCGCCTGCTCCCTCAGCTTCCCCCAGAAACAGCCCTTGGAAAACCAGCCAGGCAGCAAGGTCCTCTCACCGATCTTCATCTGGAAATTGTTGAAGGAGTGCTCATTGATGTGCTTCATCTGCTCCATGAGCCGCATGGCATAGTCGGCAAGGGCGGTGATGTGGGAGCGGCCCACCTGATCATAGGTGCTGGCGTTCAGCCCAGAGGCAGCCATGTAGGTGCTACCAATCGTCTTGATCTTCTCCAGCTGCCGGAACCGCTCCTCACTGATGATCTAGACAGCACAGGGGGACCCAGCTGTCAAGGCAAAGAAGCCAAACCCAGCTCTGCCCCAGGGCCCATTCCTTGCCATGCCTTGGCCCACTCTCTCACTGCCCTGTCTCAACAGCTCCCCTCCTCTGGAAGAGCAAGACCCACTTCCAGCTGCTGCTCTCAGTGCAGGACCAAGGAGCCAGGGAAACAGGCCTCCTTCACCAGGCAGCCCTCAGAACCCAGGCCAGGTCTTGAGCATAAAGCTTCAGGTCAAAGGAATAGCCCACTTACAGAACCCAGAACCGCAGGATATCAGGCATCAATTATTGCAATGCTCGCTTTTTCGGAAACTTAGTCCCGTAGTAAAGAATCCACCCCTGACTCCACCCCACCCCACCCAGAACAGTGAAGGGCCCACTCCTGACCTGATCTTCAGGACACTTCCTCACATTTCGCTTCCATTTCCTCTATTCAGGGGACCATCTTGCTTACTTGGCCTCATGGGGCTCTGTTCACAGACTACTGCTTTCTTCTTCAATGACATCTATCTACCTGGTACCTATCCTGTTCCAGATCTTCTTGTCTTCCTTTGCTCCCCAAGAATGACGACCCTGTCCCACTGGGACTCACTTCTTTCTTCTAACGCCTTCATGAGTCCCCATCCTGCCTCCACTGTACCTACTCTTACCCCTGCCCCTGACATCTCTGGGTCTCATCAAATTTCCCTCCCTCCTCCCAGAACCACCCATGCCCTCCAATCCTGTCCTTCTCAGCCAAAGTTCTCCCCACTCTCTGCCAGCACCAGCTGACTGGACAAGTACCTCATCAAAATCAGCGATAATCTCGTTGAGCAGCCGCAGGCACTCCACACCCTCATTATTTGCCTCCAGCTCCACGTAGAACTCAGAGAAGTTGGCAATGGAGGCAAACATGACAGCCACACACTCACACGACTGATAGTAGAGCTCGTCGTTCCGGCGCTCCCGGGCCAGGAAGTGGGCAGCTACATCCTTGGGCAGAATGTTATGCAACAGCCGCCGGTTGTATGCCTGGAGCTCCTCCATCTCCTCCTTCTCCCCTGTTGCCTGTGGACACCACACCCATCACCCACTGCCCAACATTCACAAGGGGTGGTTGCAGTGGCCAACGCCGGGAGATGGGCATCAGAGGGAACCACGTAGAAGAAAGTCATGGACAGATGAGGCCTAAAGAATAGGCAAAGGGTGACGGGGAAAGGGACAGGGGATGGACACAGAGAAAGCATGGAGCCAGGGTGGGCTTGGGGAGCCTGAGCCCTGGCCAACTAACAAAATGCATTTCTAGATTGGCCCAGACTCTGTCCTCAAAATCCTCCCCCTCCCTTGCCCACCCAGTCACCTGCAGTTTCCAGAGGAAGTCCAGGCGGGCAGTCGATTCCACCTGCTGAGCATGCAGATACAGGGCCAGGGCAAACACCAGCAGAATCACGGGGGTCATATATTTGAGTGCCACCCTCCCTGCAGCTGGGCTGAAGGTAAGCAGAAGCATGCTCAGTGTCTGAAGGAGGCATCTGGCTGCCCTACCTTTCACTGCCTCAGAGCCCTCACTCACCAGTCCAGCCCATCAAAAGTCTCATTAGAAGAAGCCCTGGCAGGAAGACACAAGAGACAAAGTTATCGGTTCATCCTGGGTTGCTGAGTCGGGGGATGGAAGGGGTGACAGAAGCTGCACTTACTGAGCACATACCATAAATCAGATATTGGGCTAGGGCTTTTGCTTATATTAACTCATTAAAAGCAGAGGTGCCACTCTTGGCTCCTCTACTTACCAGCTATGTGACCTGGAACAAGTTGCTTAACTCTTTTAAGCCTCAATTCCCTCATCAATAAAAGAGGGATCAGATCTAAATCATGCACGTAAAAAGGCTTAGCACAGTGCCTGGGCATGTGGTAAGCCTTCAACAAATATTAGCTACCATCATCTTTACAATTATCTTGTCATATAGGTGGCATTATCATTTTAGAAATGAGGAAATTGAGGCTCAGAGAAAACTCACCTGTTCAAAGTCACACAGTTAATGAGTGCCAAAGCGGGGATTCAGACCCAGGGCACTCCAGAGGCTTTTTCAGCTTCACTAAGCTATGGCCACATATCACAAGGGATGGGGTTTTATAACAGAAGAGCCAGTGCAGTGTCGCAGGCAAAGCCCTCAAGTAGGAGTCAGAGGTTTTGGTTCCTAGCCAGGGCTCTGCCACCAAGCAGCTATGTGAAACTACAAGAGTGGATATGAAAGTACCACATGAATTCAAGATGGATTTTTTTTTTTTTTTTTTTTTTTTTTTTTTAATATTTAGCCTAAAAACACAGGGC